TTTTTTGTTATTAACAATAATTTCTAATTTTAACCTGAATTGGAAGATTTAGTAGCAAGTATTTTCGATGCAGAGAATTAGAAAATACGGATCTAATATTTGCATTTTCTATACGAAACCTCAATACCACAGGGAAGTCGTTGTATAAATTAAAAAGTGGCAATTCATGCCTGTGAGAGGGACTTGTATTCATCTCTTCGCCTGCAAACGGGACATGTCATTACATCTGTGTCAAGTAAGACATATCGTCGCGGTGCTTTCTATTCTGTTCGATGATAGATTGTTCCCACATTGTTTTAAAAACCATACATTAATTATTTGATCTAGATTCCATCTAGATTTGATCGAGTTATTACTTCAATTATCGTTGATTATATATTGCAATATGCGTAGATAAATATATAAAAAAGGATTGATAAAGAAAATATATCTTAAATAAATACTGAAACTTTTAGCAGGTAGACAAATATAAAATTATCGACATAATATTGTTATACTAAATAAATTGTTTACGAACAAGGGATTAATAATAAAATCTTGTACAATGTAATGAGTCAGTAGTTGAAAAATTGTTGAGTTAAAAAAAATATTTTCTCAGCTTCCAATATAAAAAGTATAAATTGATAAAAGGTCATATCTATTGATTGATAGGACTGAATCACGAATTGTTGTATCGCTCTATTGTATTATATTCCAAATGTTTATGCGACTAAACTTTAATACGTCCATCCAATATCTTATAATTAATTAGTAAAATTAATTAGTATGTATCGAAGGGACCAAATACTGTGAATGGTAGTATCGGTGTTAATTGAATTATTATTCTCACTTACAATTTAATTCAAGATTAGACATCCGTCTTTAAAAATCAAAGAATCTCTCACCTCAGTTATAGTCGACGGTCAGGAAGCGAACGGCGTTGTCGTCGCGATTCTTCTCGTGTTTTAAGCGCGCACCAACTACGTACCCCGTGCAAGTTTTATTAGTTAAGACGAACGAATGAACCAGAACAAAAGGGGGAGGAAATCAACGCCGTCACAGTGGTTCTCGCAGTTTAAATCAAATATTTGGTTGCTCGCCCTGGTGCACGCAGTCGCGACGTTCGTCAGCGTAACATGACCACTTTAGTCTTGTACTGCCTCGATTAGCTAACACTAGCCGTGGTGCCGGCCTATGTTCCGCGAATGAAGAACGAATGAAATCGTGATACGATGAGGTCGATCGACAAAGTGGCAGCGCCTTGGTGTTGCTTCGTCGGTCAGCTTTATAAGTTTGGTGTCGTCCGCCGACGATCGGCGTTTACCTCTGCTGATGGCTACCAAACCGTCCCGGAGGTGGTACCATTTCATCGCGGCGTTAAACGAGGCCAGACCACCCCTCCCACGTCGGCTGTACCCCACGGTCGACATCGGTCCTTCTTCGAAGATTTCGACGTCGATCGTGGGGATAGATCGCGCGGAATCGGTCAAAACGATCGGGTATGCGTGTCCCACCCCGAGCTACACGATTCTTTGCTTTCCCCTTCCCTTATTTCTCATCGTAAGGAGAATGACTCTGGCTATAGTGGATGTAGTACCAGCTTATAAATAATAAGATTTACTGCCAGGATTAAAATTAAACTAACTACGTAGTTCATCTTCCTTATCTGAAATGAAGTTAAATGGATCTTTATTTATTTTAGTGAAATTTTAGATTGTATCCGATTAATGTAAACCGTCCTACCGTGAGGCATTCAATGCAGGGGCAATTTATTCCATTAGAATCAGTAAAAGTGTATATAGAATATGAAAAACCAATCAAATTATATCTAACTATCTGGTTATATGAATTAGTATATAGTTTTTTCCTCAAAAATATCAGACGAATGAACTACTACATAAAGTAAAGATTGTTAACTTCCATTTGATATGATATGTTATATTTTGTCGAATCTTATCAATTTTTGCATTATTAGAAAAAATAGAAAAGTAATTTATTCAATAATTGATGGATAAAGAAGTAAACTTGTCCAATAACTTCGAAAACGAATTGTGACGAGGCGGGCTTCAACGTTACCAGACACACATAATGGTCGTGGCCTCAATTTGAAGGTAAAGGCCTTAGGTTGAGTGTCTCAGAATCGTTCCTCTGAGACGTCATTTGAGACACAAAGATGACTTAGAATAGCGGAAAGAGAAAAGAGGGAGGGAGGAACGAGTGGACCGTAAAACAAGGTTTAGTTCAAGGATGAATTTTTAGAAATAGATATTGGGTGCACGTGAAAACTTATTTTATTGAGGTTTCAATTTTTCAATTAACTATTATC